GCCGCATTACAGAATCACGTTGCCCATAAACTACATGTCCCACAATGCATCTCATTTTGTGACATGTGCACTGAAGAAACTTGCAATTACTTGACCTAGAGTTCTGCTTTCAGACGTAGTTAATTATGAAGTTATTACTAGGGATGTTCCGATCACCTTTTTTTGCTCCCGATCCGATTCCGATCATTTGATTTTGACAATTTGCCGATACCGATTTTTCCCGATCCGCTCTTTATGCAATGCGTTAAGAGAAAAAAAAGCATTCAAGTTGTCCCTTAAGGTTATTTTTTTATTTAAATTGGATATTCTATCCAACATGGATATAGCTTCTTTCTTTCACAGCAGCATTGGATCAGTTCAGTTGTGCAGCATTGGATCAAAACAAAATAAAGCTTATCAGTACTCGTTAGCTTACTGCTACAATTAGACACTGCGCCCACTCTGTTGCCAGATTTGAGAGAAATAAGCAACCAGGTCTATGAAAACAAGCCCCAAAGAAGCAACACATACATGATGTTCTGTAATTTGAAACCAAAACTAAGGCCTCAGGATGACTTTAAGACTTGAACATGGTCATTTTTGTTTTGTAACATTGAATACAAAATTAAAAAAAAAGTATTTAAAAAAAAAAAAAAAAGAAAATCCGATCCCCGATTTTTTTTCTCCCAAATTCCGATCTTTTGAAAATCACGTGATCGGTTCCAATCCCCGATCACGTGATCGGATCGAGACATCTCTAGTTATTACCCTATCCGATAATAATCCAATGCAGAGGCAGTAATGTAATATTATACATTATTTTATATGTATTATGTATTTATATATTCATATTGTCTTAAAGTTACAACCGGCCCTTGACGTTGAGTGCAACTATAAGTCTGATGTGGCCCGCAATGAACTTGAGTCTGACACCCCTGGTCTAACCCTAATGAATTGGACTGATTAGTTTGCACTCGTCAATCCAGTCTGGTACTTTGTTCAGCCTGTAGTCATTATAGCACACCTTGAGTTAATGTGGAATATTGAAAAGTTATATTCTCTGTTTAGTGGCATCCACACTGGATAGGCATGCTTTAAAGTCACAGTGGAAGCAGATGCAATCAGAAAGTTCCTTTTTTAATACAAAGTAAACACATTAAAGGAGACACCAATGCTAGGATAAGTCAATGGAAGGGACCTGGAATCCTGTGGTCTGCAGGCGATCAAACAAACAAGCTACTCGTCTGTGTACATTGAGGAGGTCAGAAGCAAATGCATGTTTTTATTTGGAGAAATTTGACGCATTCTTCTTCCCGTTTCCTGCCCAGGACACTCCTGAACACCTGCACAAAGCGGCTAATGTGAACCTGGTTCATCACTTAAAGAAACTGGAGAAAGAGGGCAAGATCAGCCTGGGTATGTAACTCTTACATCTTAAAGCATCAGTTTGGTGTGTGAACATTACAATGAGCAAAAGGGAGTAAATGGTTCGTATAAATTGAGTGTGGTGTTGTTGATGCTCTGCACTCAAAAGTGTACTTTTTCTTTCCTCAGTGAATGAATCTTCAAAGAACATCAAATGGAAAAGTAACCTGTGATATCCTTGGGCGCCATGAAGACACTATTTTAAATGTAATATTTGTAATATTCAGCTGAATGACATATCCTAACTTTTCAATCAAAAATAACCTGATCAATGGCCTTAGATACTCTGATTGACAGATGTGTTGCAGATAGATCAGGGATGGAGGTCACACTCAATGCCTTGGATGTTTCCTGAGCATACAGACCATTAACACACACTCACCTGGACTGAGCTGCTGTGTCAAATAACATGTATTAAGGTATATATGTGTCTGTAAGTCAGGTGCATTTGGCTGGTGGGAAAATGGAAGAGTAGACACAGTTTGCACCGAATAATATTGCTTCTTTTCCGTCTTCCTTGGTCGAATTTCCCCCAAGTTTCGTCTCTCAGGAAGCACTTTTTGGTTGACTTTAAACACATATTAAATATGGTGTTCTCTCAGAGTGTCGAACTGTAAAATATGTCTTTTAAAAATCGATATATTTAAAACAGAAGCAGCACTTAGATATGTTAACTTTTCGTATGCTTTTAAAAAGTTGTATTAAATCTGGTCTCTTTCTTGAAAAATGAAGCACCTGTTCTACAAGTGATGCTATTCCTCAGTCAGTCACTAGGTGGCAGTATCCGCTAATACTTTTATTGGGCAGAACTTTGATTGTACACTCACTGTAACATAAAACTTTACAAATATTTTGTATATGATAAAGAAAGATGTAGAAATTGTGTGGTGGAGAGATTGTTGGCTACTACAGTGATGTGATGTTGTATTTTCTGACTGATTAATAAAATCAACTGTGCATTTGTAATAGTAATGAGATCATCATTAGGGATATGTTTTTTTAAATGAATGAATAATACATGTGAACAGCTGAATGTGATCTCATATCATCGTCATGATGGTGACGCAGTGTTCCTCTGATCAGATATTCTGCGTTGACCTGTGCTCGAACTCTCATCTGTTCCCCTGTCCACAGCTCTGAAACAATGTGATGTTTGGGAACTTGTGATAGATACACAACGAGTTTTTACTGCCAGATCACTCACTGTAGATTGTCTACATAAACCCATCAACTTGACCACTCGTAATAAATGACCACAATGCATTAATCCTGTAGAATAAAACATCTGGTATTTTACAGTGGTTCTGTTGATCAATAAGAAGTAAACTTGTCAAACAAAGTGAACAGTAAGAAAAACTACTTGTGCTATACGTCAGTATTTCAATTTGTAATGCTACATTAAAATATATAATGTGATTCAGTGTTGTGTTCTTTATTATGCACAGTATCTAAAAATAAACTTAAATTAGGTCTACATTGACAACATACAAATGCAAAAAAATCTCCATTTGTTTAGGTTGGGTAAAAGAGCTGTCAGTAGTGTGTGTGTGGTGAAGAGAGGGAAAGAGAGAGAGAGAGAGAGAGAGAGAATGGCAGAGTGACACTGAGCTCTGCAGAGTGGTAATGAGATGAGTGGAGGTGGCGGTGATGGAGGAGGGGGGGCTGTTGGTGAAGATAAACAGCCGAGAGAGGAGCGTCTGAGCTGGAGGAACATGGCGGCTCCGGCCCTGGACGCTTCCACCGCTTCGTCCCTCTGACCGACACACTCACTCACACACACACACACACATACCCCGTCGACACTGACACACACTTTACGCACCGTATGGCTCCACAACTCTCCGGTAAGTTTCCTGTCTTTATCCGACTGGACCCCCATTACTCTTTTAATCCCACCCTTTACAAGTAACGATAGTATTTATGTGTTTAAAGTGATTTGAACCACACTTTATGGAGCAAATCCACCCCTCGTGATATTAAGTGGTGTATTTAGAATATTATAGGGTTCAATACGTTGGGAAATAACGTTGCTATCGACCGGTTTGTTTTGGAGCAGGTTTTTTTTAAGCCTTTTCGATGAACTGTACACGAGGACACACGTTCAGGCTTGTTATTTGGGGTTAATTAATAGTACAGAACCGGGTTTTTATGTCTTATTATTATATAATTATCGCTAAAAGCCCTTCCTGATAAACAGAAGCTGTGGGCTTATGGGAACCACGGAGCTTCAACCGTCTGATGTTTTTAAAGTAGATTTTCCTCCCGAAATATAAACCTTGATCGAGTTTACAAGTGTGTATGTGATTAATGTTAATATATATTAGTTTAACTTTGAAATATTTGACTTATTCGCGGTTGATATTGCTCGCACTTCCTCAACCAAATCAAGCGTCAAGTGGAATTAATGCGGTAACGTTTTTTATTTCAAAATAAAAGGATTTTGAAATGTAGTTTCTTATGTGATACCATTAAATACATCGCAGATTGGCAAATAGTTTATTATATGTTGTTTCCAGTACACTAACATGTAGCATTTTGTTCTGCTGAGGCTGTCAAAGAGGCATTTTCAGTCAGATTGTCTTCTTACATTTTATTTTGAAAACTGATCTAGTCAGCGTCCGGTTTTATGTCGGTTTATTCGTGCGAGCTTGACCTAGTTTGTCAGATATCAGTGAAGAAGACTTACTGTACTCCTCAAAATATATACATTCTTTATTAAATAAAATAATTTGTACACATTTAATTAAATAAAAAACAATAATAGAAAGTAATTCTGGTCAAAAACATAATGTATTATTCCCTACTACATGTTATCCCAATGGAATAAAAGCAGGAGGAACATGTCTATGCTAAAGTCTATGCTGGGGAAATATACATTGCATAGCAGCTGCTGAACAACAATTGACATAAAATGCATTTCTGTTAATAAAGTTATTCAAGTCTTTCTGAAAGGAGCCCACAGTCAGTCATAATCTGTATTGCAAACGTAATGCACCGTAAACTCTGTGTGGCCTGGGGTATTTTATTTTGAAAAAGAAATACATCTATTTAATAATTCTGTTTGTATTTATAAGTGGCATGTGCTGCAGGGCTGTGAGTTAACTAGCTGCACACGTTTACACAGAATAAGAGCACGTTTAATTGTACTAGATAACAGTTTGGTATAGTTGCAGAATCAGGGACGTGTTTTTATTTGTTGTTGTGCCGGTTACCCTGTTTGCTGTTGTTATGCTGGTATGTTACTGTAGGGAACCTGTAAGTTTGCCTACGTGACAGGTGCCATCTGACTCCGCTGGATATGTTATCTTTGAGGGCTGGACTCAGGATCCTTTCTGCTCTTTTTAAAGCTTATTTGCTCTTTCCTGCACCAAAGTGAACTTTGAAAAGGATTGCAACGTGTCCGCGAGCTTCTGTTATTTCTGCAGTCTGTTTTCCTAAAGGTTTAAGGGTGTTTTCATGCTGCTACACACGTCTGTAACATGATACACACGATGTGCATGCTTGCGTTTTGTGTTCAAGGATCTACCTGGATTTGTTTTCATTGTTTCTGCTTTATCATAATTTGGCAAACTCTGCTTTCTTGCACCATTCTTGTGATTTGTCTGGTTGATTGTCAGTATATTTCAATGCAAACACTACCTTATAGTGCTGCAGCAAGAGTGCAGGAATGTACTTAAGTCCAAGATCTTAACATGAGATTGGCAGCTTGCCCAGCGAGGGATCCTTAGTGGCTTGAATTCACTAAACCACGTGAGGGCTCAAATAATGCCCTGACCAATGACAACAGGAGGAGGAGGAGGGGGAGGAGGAGGGGGAGGAGGAGGAGGAGGAGGAAGGGCAGAGCTTGACTGTGCAGTTCTTCGTACCAGGGTTTGCAGCAGCTCTTATCCTCATCTAGAGAAACACAAACATGCTACTGTACACAATCTTTCCCTCTAAAAGGCTTTTGAGTTTTTCCTTATTTTGTACATTTTCCCTCAGCAATTTAAAGGCTTTATTTGTCGCAAGCTCCTCCAACAATGAAACATATAATATACTTAACATACCAGTAAGTTCCAGGATTAATATAAAGCAGAACGTCAAATTAAATACTTTAGAGTAGAAACTGTATACTGTTATAATATATACATTTTTGGACATAAGGACAAGAAAGAGCGTACCTTTTTTTGTTTTTTTGTTTCTCCTTCTCACACTAACTGGTATTTACCAAGGTGTGTGTGTGTGTGTGTGTGTGTGTGTGTGTGTGTGTGTGTGTGTGTGTGTGTGTGT